GACAGGGTCGTCCCAATATGCGTTTTTGCAATTTGCATATAGGCAAAAACGCATAAAAACGAACGCTAAACGGGAATTGTTTATTTCCTTTTATGCAAAATTTACGATGATTTACGGTATTAAGCACACAAGTTAGGTGTGAAGAAACAACCATTCATGCAGTTAACCTAATTACTAAAAGTTTGGTGCAAAAACGTATGATCGCAGCGGCTCGCCTGGTGCGCTGCAGCCTAATAACTTCACAGTTTAATAACTTCACAATTTATTGTTGCACTAGATGCATGCATAATCACAATAGCATAGCTTTTTCAGGTAATGTGAGTGACCCAGGCATTTGTTTCCTTACAGTCGCCTACGGTACAGGTCCGTATAAAATTCCACGCTTTTATTACGATGCACGAAATCAAGCCTGCAAACAATATGTTTATAAAGGAGCCGACGGCAATAGCAACAGATTTTCCACTCATGAGCAGTGCACAAAAACTTGCATGTCGACTGGTAAGCAACTTTCAAAGTTATGATCTGACCTGGGCCCTCATTTGGGAAACCCATATATCTAAAACCATTTACATTCCAGTATCTGATACATACCAGTGAATTTGCTGAGCAACGGACAAATGTTGCTCCCAGAAAGTAAGATACGCATAGGGCCTGTGACTTAAGAAATTAGTTTAAGCTGATGAAAATTTAATCGAAATTGCAGCGATCTTTAGTAAAAGCAATTTTACTTATATATTACTTTCCTCGCAAAAAAAGGCACAGTTATTCATTGATACGACTTTCTGGCACATTCTCATTAACAGTTATTAGGTTAGATTGAATTTTTTTCATAAAAAGGAATCGCTGGTAACGGCAGTTCAAGCACAGAAACGTCGTGGATAACAAAGGTCAGCACACAGCCCTCTGTCACCACCACAAGCGCTGCTACCCAGTCGCTCATCATTCCAGCTAATTTTTCGCTAAATTTTGAGAACCTAAAGCAATTTGGCTTATTCACGACGCCCAGTCCGGAACAAGCAGCACTTATTGAGCGATTCAGAGGTGACTAATTCATTTTTTTACGACTTACATAAGTTTGATGAGCAGGACGCACTGCTCGATTTATGATAGCCGGTAATTGATGTGTATGAGCAGACGTTATTTGCGAGGAAGAAACAAACTGCTGGGGAGGTTTCTGAAAAGATACCGTGCACACCATACTGCAAAAAAAAAAAAAAAACGGCAGTGGTCCACGCATGATCGCATTTTATCAAAACTGAATTCGCGGTGTATTGGTAATTTGGTGGATTCCGCTAGCATTCTTGACAGATCTATATTCAGTAATGAATTCAAATGCGCAGCAGAATAAAATACAGTACGCTGCAGCACCAGAGGCAAAACAATTTACTCCTAAATGGTTCAGCATTGCAGAAAAGCGAAATCACTGACAACTGCATTGGTCAGTACTTGCCGAAACACCGTCATAATTTTTTAAAGGATCAAAGGACTGTATCTTGAAACAGAATGTATCAGAAATTCGGAGGTCCCATATCATTTACCGAACATCAGATTTTCGAAGTCACATTTCATGAATTTGACAACAGCTATACTTATCTTCAGTGCAAATCTCTGTAGAGCAAAGACAAGGAGGAAAAGAATTTCATTTAATCGAAGATCTATCTTCACAGAACTAACACTTTCAGGCCTTTTGAGATCGTTCACTTTCACAAAATCGAAAAGTGAGCTAGCAACAGGAGATACACAGACAGAAGCTGAACTAGCTGGTCCAAATGTGTCAGGAGAAAAAGAGTCACTTGGTCAAGTCTTTTCACAAACGACAGATGGTAATTTCGATAATTGAAAAAAAAACTCAAAAGTCCTTAATAATTTTCATAACCTGCTTAGAAGAGCGTTCCGATAAAATGCACGCGCAGTCGGAGATTATGCTTTCAAAATTAGACCTTCCTAGTTCCGTAAATTTGGAGTTGGATTACATGAGAAATCAAGCGGATGCACATGCGAGACCATGACATAATAAGGGAGAAGGATCAAAAGGTCAAATTACAATATGAATAAAATTGCCTAAATAACCGAGGATATGGACGGAAAAAAATCTTTCTTACGCGAAATCTTTCTACCTGTGATCGGACTCAAGCCAGCATATTCAGAATCCGCTGTATAATTGCCTGCGTCAGAAAGTTAGGCGGTCCTATCATCTTTGTAGAATGCTAGGCGGTTCTATCATCTCTTCTTCAGGATTTACTTCCAAAATTTTAGAATCATTGTTAACTACTGGGAGTTCAATGGAACAAAGCGGATCCACAGCTGAAAGGAACGGAATTTTTCAGCAGGTGCTTTCTGATCTTTTTTTCTTTGCACAACGTTATACATTTTAACTTACAGAGAAAGTGCAGAGGCGAAGCTTACCGCAGTTTGCAAGATAATATGAATTGTCAGCATGGAATCCTTGAAATGCAGTTATGCGACCAAAACAACTGTGACAACTCCCCGTTTTTCTTGGGGTGCCTACGTTCATTCGTCATCCACTCTGTTCTTAAGCTGAAAGATCGCTCATTTCTGAAGTTTTTGGAGTGTATTCGGAACATGCAGGAGTGTATTCGGAACATTCGTTGACATGCAGCATTTACGGCTGTCAAGGAAGCAAACACCGTCAAATTCTGGAAGATTTTATTTGCTAGTTGTGGACACGGTGATACCCTGTGCGCGGGCCATCTGACAAAGCATTCAGTTTTCATGCTCCAAATGTACTTTACTTGATCGATTCCCAAGGTAACCAGTGGCTTTTCTGCCTTAGCAGGAGAAAACATTTAGTCATATCACTTCACTTACCAATGCGCACAGGTTAGCGTAAACAAATACCTTCCTACTGTTTAGCTCCCGTGGAAGTCAAGACCTGGCAAGAGTTCGCCCCAGACAGAAGCTGCAGATGTTGTTAACGCTATTGCGAAGGCAGTCACCGACCCCTGTCTTCAGTCGTTGCCGGATGGCTTGCAAGTGCAGTACTGTTCTCCAGCTGATTCATACTTGTGTCCGCGCGGAACGTTCTGTCAGATTGGCGCTGGTGTGCAACAAACTTTTTGCTGTCCTGTAATTGGTAAGCCTCAAGCAAAATTTTTTAATACTTTAATGTAACGTCAAAGCTTTTGTGTCAGCGTGGAGCAACTGATCTTATCAAAATGTAGCGAAATGTCAAACACAGCCACGCTAAGCTCGATTTCAGTTCGCTTAAAAGTCGAGCACCAAAAATGTGAGTATTGAAATCTTTGCACGATGAATTTATAAGAATGTACTTGATTCGCAAAAATTGAATTCACTCCCGATGTGTCGTGTTTTGAGACTCAAGGCCTTGAAATTCGGAACCATATAAATTGGAAACATGAAATTTCAGACCTTCGGTGTTTTTGCAAAAAACGGGATTAATGAAACAAAATTCTTTCATACTTCACAGTTACCTCCCTTTTTCTGTTCGCTCGTGTTATTCTGATGATAAAACTTTAGAGCGGAGCAAACAGCGAGGCCGAAGGAGTTACTGTTCAAGTGCTAGTCTGATTAAAAGCCAAATGTTGACAATTTCTTCTATGTACTGGCGTATTTTTCGTCTGCGTACTCAGAACAGTTTGGTGCTGAAACGCTACTTGCTATAGCCTCCTGATACACATCCCCATTTCTCGTAAACAAATTTTTTTTATTACCAGGCAACAATCCATGTTCACAGCCGCAAGAATCCGGAATCGGCCTCACTGGACTCGGTCGTTGGTACTACGATGCAAATGCTAATCAGTGCAAAACATTTATTTTCAACGGATATAAGGTGAGCATTCAGCTGTTGCATGAAAAGAGTGGTAAGGACGAGGCGGCCGAAGCGAATATAATGACTGGACAAGATCGCCAACTGACAGTTTGTTTTTTTTTTTAGTTCACTCAGTCTGCAGTGTGCAGAACTTGAAGTTTTTGGCTCGATTCATTTTAAAATTATAAAATCAGACAGTGCTTATCGTTGTCCATAATAAAGCAAGCTTCGGATGCTGGTTTTAGTTTATTCATCATTATTTGGTGGAAAAAACCTTCAAAAAAAATTTTTTTTTGTCTTTAAGTTCAATCGCAATTCCGAGGTTGGAACATAGGGTTTAATATACAAACCTACATAAAGTTAAATACGGGTTTTGGGTTTGTATTCGACTCAGGACTTTACTTTCAAAAAATTCTTGCACATCAAAGTGTAGTCAGATCAAATAACATGAAGCAGTGATGCAGCACATTACCACTGCCGTGACCTGATGGAACAAAAATAGAATTTCACATATACGCATGTCAGGGAAGAAGAGTTCAATGTTAATTTTATGCTTGCAGACTTTAACGAAATCGCGGCCTTGTTCTTGAAATACCAACTTCCTAGCTTTAGTAATCCTGAAGCTGATGTGGTCAGAAAGATAGTCAGATCTCGTCATAATGCATTTTTGCTGCATCACAAATGCAGATCTAGGCTAGAACGCACCAGCAAAGCTAAAGCTTGCTTTAGCATCCGAAGCTTGCTTTATTATGGACAGCGACAAGCACTGGCTGATTTTATAATTTCAAAATGAATCGAGCCAGAAACTTCAAGTTCTGCACACTGCAAACTGAGCGCGCTTTTGCACTAAACTTGAAACAACCAAGTCATTAACCGTATGAATGGTTGCTGCTTTACACTTGCCTTGTGCGCTCTCCACCGTAAATCATCAGAAGTTTTGCATAAAGAACCCAGGTAGAAACGCAATAGGCTTACTGGTGCAATCATGCGTTTTTGCATCAGACTTGAAGTACTCAGGTCATTAACTGCATGAACTGTTGTTGCTTTAAATCTACCTTTTGCGCTCAAAAGCGTAAATTACCATAAATTTTGCATAAAGTAAATGAACAATTTCCATTTAACGGTCGTTTTTTCAAAGTAACCTAGCTGTTCGATGAGCAATTTTCCCGCCAAAACTTTTAAGTGCCTGTACGTGACAACCACACATATCTGAAGGCTCAGTTTGAAATATTTAAGTAGTATTTGGGCAAGGAACGCCCCTCACAAGCTTTCTAGCTTTTCTGGTCCCTGAGTTAGTAATTTTCGGCCAAAACTTTCACATACCCATACGTGGTAACCAGGTGCTTGGGAAGCTGAATTTGAACTCTTTAAACTATACTTAGACACGGAACACACCTCTGAAATTTCAGCCTTCCATCTTTCCTGGCTACCTAGTTAGCAATTTTCCCGTCAGACCTTTCACGTGCTCGTACGTGAGAATCAAGCACATCTGAAGGCTGAATTTGAAATATTTAAGTTGTACTTGGAAAGCGGACATTACCCCAAAGCTTCCAGCTTCCTAGCTTTCTTGTTCCCGAGTTAGTAATTTTCTCGCCAAAACTTTCACACGCCCTTACGTGAGTACCACGCATACCT